CTGGCGATTGATACCAAAGCCTTCGAATCCGAATTTTCGTTTCGACATCTTGCGCGAATGTTAAACCCTAGAAATGCAATTTGGGGGGATCTTTAATGATATATAGACTTAGGATAACAAATAAATATTGTATTTTTGTTTATATATTTAAAATTAAAATGAAATTAAGCTTGTACAATTTACTTATTTTATATTATCATAAAAGTTATTTTATATATGATGACTTCAAAGATAATTTTCTAACTAATATACAATTTTATTAGATTTTAATTAATACTAATAAATAATTTGATTTATAATAAAGATAAATAACATCATTTATTTATTTTATATATACAATACAAATGTCAAATTTCAATTCGTGTATTATTTAATTTCATATATCATGATAAAAATAACAATCACAAACACAAATTTATAAACTTTTATAATTTACTAAATAATTTTAAATATATCACTCGAAATTCAAACCAATATGCCACCTTTAATTTGATACGTGGCGATTAATGATCCATAATGTTCATGAAGAAAATAAGAAGATCTATCGAATAAAGTCATATCTTCCCCCTTTTAGATTGCCAAGTTGTCCAAAGTGAAAATAGTATTTAAGTTTTCCACATCGTTTGTAGATAAGTTAACTTTAAGCGCGAAAAACATTGTGTAATGAATATGCGATAGTTGCACGATAACATTGTGCGAAAGTTAAAAGTGCGAAGACATTCGCATATCCCTTCGCACTTTCTGGGGTGGACAAAGTTAAAGTGCGAAGGCATTGCGTGATGAATATGCGACAGTTATGCAATTGATATGCGACAGCTATGCAGTCAGTTCGCATAACTTCGCTGGGAAGAAAAAAAGTTAGATTGTTAGTGGGTGGTGTGAAAAACTTAATGTATCTTTGTATTGGGTGAAAAAAAAAAAAAATCCCTTGTCCAAAAACCGTATGTGTTAATGCCCCGTAATTATTGTTGCCCAGGAATTATTACTATCTAATCCCATTTATATATTAGTTCAAAACGTGATTGCAGTCTCACACGCTTTTGAATCTTATTTGTAACAATATCATACTTTGTATTTAGGTTTGGATAAAAAATTTGGAAACAAAGTTGGATTGGAAATTGTCATAAATATTTTTACACCATACATCATTGTCTCCCATCAATCTCTATTTCATTACCAAATTTGTTTTCAACTTAAAATATCACACAAATTTTTATATCCTTACTTCATTTTTTTTTTCATTAAAGATCATTTGAATTTAATAATTGACTTAACACTGAATATTTTATTTGACAATAGTTACATTGGGATACTGTACCTAAGACAATATACCGGTCGAGTAAGTCAGTCGAGCAAACCCGAACAAGTCGCCCTGATTGAGCAGACTATGAGCAGGATGGTCGTGGTCGAACGTCACATAAACAAGATCCTATGGAGTGAAAGACACCTTAAAGAGGATCCCAGTTCATGGGGAACATGTTGATCGCAGACCCTTGGAGGGTCTGGTCGAAGACCGACCTACGACGCAGATGGTCGTTTGGTCGACCGGAAACTCATACTCAGAGCAGTCAGCGCTCCGCATCAGATAGACCTAGACTTGGTCGAGCATTCGAGCCTTCGAAGAAATTTGAGATGGATCAAATCCCTACGTGAAGAGAACATGCGGCACGCCCTGATTGGTCTATACCACATAACCATTTCTGACACACCTTAAGTGTGTGTTGTAAGACCGGGTAGGTCGGGCAGCTTTTGGGCAACCAGCTTAGCTCATTCGAGCAGCTTTCTAGAAACATGTATCGCACCCTTATATATAGGTGTGAGACTTACGATTTCAGCTTGAGGATTGAATATAGCTAATTACTTAAGCATTGGAGACTCTTCAATGGAAAACCCTTCCGGTGTGAGAGTTATTGCAGGTACTCGGTGTTCTACTGGCGAGGAAGATGAAGGCGAATCAATTTTCAGCCGGTTGGAGTGCTCGACATTACCAAGTGGATCAATGTCGCTGTTGGTACCCAATTTGGCTGCAATTAATTAAAGAGCGTCACGTGGCAAAATAAACGGGGGCTAAAATATGTAACAAATAAATACACTAATAATAGGTTCTCCGAGCTGATTATTTAATATCGACCGAATCCTCAAACGTCACGATCGCCCGAACCCGAGTCGAGCGGAATTTAATATCACCAGTCTGACTCGGATACAGTAAAGAAGCCGTCTTTCGAGGATGCACACTACCGACAAGGCAGGTGTTAAGTGTCATATTTGGGCCCCATGCGGTCACACCACATTAAAATATTATTTGTATTATTTTATTATACATTACTCCATGACCACATGTGAGGTCATATATATACTTAGCCACCATTATTGTAGAGAGAGGGCAATCTTATCCAAACGAGAGAGAGAGAGAGAGAGAGAGAGAGAGAGAGAGAGAGAGAGAGAGCAAATACTTCTCCCAAAAAATATCAATAAAAAATAAGTTACATATTTGATCTTCTATTCTTGATTGCAAAAATCGTATGTTTGCATGGTGTACTCAGTGTAGTGTACAATTCACCATGTTGCCGACATATTTGAGCATCAACAGTCGCGTTAACAATGTTTATTTTATTTTACAGTTGAGTTAACAACGTTTTATTTGATAATTAATTTTCTTATATCTAATTGTACTAAGGATATGTTTGATAGACAAATAAGCTAACTTATAGCTTATTTGGTTAACTTATAAACTTCTTATATCAAATAAGTTTCTTTTGGTAGGACGAGTTTTTTTTTAAAAAAAGTTCGAGTTTATCTTATAAACTTATTTGAGTATCAAATAAGGCTGTTGAATTTTTTATTTCAGGTAGTTTATCAGCTAATTTTACCAACCACTATAAGCTAGCTTTTCGCTATAAGTCATAAGTCATAAGTTATAAGTTCGAGAATCACTGATAAGCTATAAGTTAGCTTATCAACTGCTAACTAGGTTATCAACTAGTTTTACCAAACACAAACACGATAAGATATATACTAAAACCATTTAAGGCTATTTTGGTAACTAAATAAGTTAGTTATTTGATTACCTCATAACTTTCTGTATTCAAATAAATTTCGTTTGGTTGAACGAGTTTTTATAAAAAGTTTGAGATTATCTCATAAGCTTATTTGAGTTTTCAAATAAACTCGTTGAAATTTTTATTTTAATCTTTCAAATCAACTCGTTTAAATTTTTATTTAGCTAACTTATTAGTTAATTTATCAAACACTTTTATCATATTCGCTAGATTTGTAACTATAATTTGCAAACTCAAAAATTAATTATAAACTATAAGTTAACTTATCAGTTAGTTTTAACAAACATAACTGAAAAAATCAAATACGAATTGAATTTGCCTATTAGTTAAAAAAATATTTCATTTGTAGATTCGTTTGCTCATCGGTTAAAGAGGGTGTTAGAAGAGAAAATATGAATGTAGATTGAAACTCGCACGTGCGAGGTACACGGCCCTGCTAAATTAAGCCCGGGCGCTATCATGCGCACGTAGTTGCAGCGTAAAATCTTTGGAAGAAAGGAGGGGAAAAAATAGATGGGAGGAGGGTTTGAAGAGTTGAGCCAACTCGCCGGGACATTACTGAGTCGCACAACCGGGTCCAAATATCCTCACCCAAGTTACAAAATGCATACAAAAATTTACACACACAGGCGTGAAAAAAATGGAGAAGAAATTGGGAGCCTCCTTTACTACTATAGTTACCCATATCAACACCAACACCACCACCACCACCACCACTTTCTCTCTCCCTTTAGCCCTAACCCAAATATCCATAGCCCAAACGACGCTAATTACCCCCTTCTTCATCTCTCTAGAATACATACGCCTGCGTGTATCTCTTTTGTCAGTGACCCCTTTTCGATTGTCCTCAATTTATAAGTCCTGTTCTCTCATACCACCGTTCTAATTCCATCTGTTTCAGCGAAAGGTAAATCCCTGTTATCTGATTTGTTTATATTTTCCTAGATCTGTTGGTGGGTTCTGGTTGGATTTGGGCTTTGTATGAGATTGGTGGTCGGTGATGGCCTTGTTTGTGTGTCCTCCGTCTGTTAGGAACGTGTTCGAGTTGGCCCCGCTTAGTCGTGTTTAGTCGGGGTTGTTAGTTTTTGTGACTTTGGTATTCCTATCTGATTTGCTTTGACTTAAAAATTGCTAAGTTAGTTACCACAGTTGGTGAAGGAATTGAAGATTGCATTTGTCATTTTTCCTTTATTTTATTGTCCTGTTCTTTTCTTAGTGGAGTGATGTGTTTCCGTGGTGAATTGAAGTCTTACATGGAGTGCTTCGTTGCTGCCATGTTTTGCTGGTATTTTATGGCTTGAAGTTTCCCTGTGGTATTTGGCAGTATTGTCATCAGTTATTGTCTAAATGGACGCCGTTGTGGTTCATAATTTTAATGTTCTTACGCACTTTCAGTGATAGCTGTGATCCTGTGACAGTCGTCTCCATACTACTTTGTGCACTAGAGTCCTGTTTTCAAACTCGAGCCTCTGAATTTGTTGTGATTGCCAGATTTAATTGTTTGATTAACCTCCTCTGTGTCTCCTCGTTGATTTGTGAATTTTCTTTTGCAGATAAATTGGCTGAGGACATATTTCATGCCTTAACCAACCCTAATTTAATTTGTACGTGGGCAACAATTAAAAGATTTTGTTGAAAATGGACCAGCCCCAGGTTCCTCAATTGGAGGCCGGAGTGTCTATTAAAAGAAAGAGGAGTCAAACATCACGCCGGCCTAGACCCGAGGCTCAGCCCTTCCCTGAACAATCCCCTGTTCCATCAACTCCAGTTTCGGATGACTTGAGTAAGGTCTCAAGTGATGAGAATGATGGTGATGGTAACTCGGGTGGGAAAATGTTTAATCTGAGTCAGTGCGTATCGAGGTCTTTACCAGCTATTGGGCCGGATAGCGGATCAAATGCTATTCTTGGTAATGGTGTTATATGTGGCGGATCAGAAAGTCAGAATAAACTGAAAAAAGTTAAATTGAAGGTTGGTGGTGTAACTTGCACGATTGGAGCCAAATTTAGTGCTAATGGGACATCGGGCAGTGTGTCCTCGGTAAATGTCATTTTTTTATGCAGAATAGTTAAAATTGAGTTATGCTTCTTTTGATTTTAAGGGCTTGCTCAGAAAACTTAAGGAGCTTTTTTTTTTTTTTTTTTTT